AAACTGTATAGACATATATGCAATATGCTATTGCAACAGTGCTTGCTTGTTGACTGATACAGAGGTTCTCGTCTTCTTGGGGCTCCTGCGCCCGATGCAGGTGCACGATAAAGGCGTGCTCCGCGCGCTGCAGTGCCAAGACCTCATGACAGGCAGTTCCGGAATGACTCGGTCTGAGCTCCATAGGTTGCTTGAAAGTTCGCAAATCCTTTATACTTCGAATTCCGCACTTGTGGAGCGTGCACGGACGTGGAACTTCAGGATTTCAAACTGCCTGACCGGACTTGTGCCAGTGGTGAAACGTCACCTTCATGGCGCCGGAACGCTTCATGCACCCGGTATGTCATGCGGCTTTTGACAGCGTCATGTGATGCGACTGTCAGCCGCCTGCTGCGGCTGACTTCTGGACGAAACTCTGGACCTGTCTCGGCTGGCACGTCTTTTGAAGGGCTTTTGCCCTGAAGAGGTACTGCCAAGTGTGGTTGGGAATATGGGACATCCCCCGTGCGTTATCAGATGCTGCCGAGCTCGCAGCTGCATCGTCAAGCAGCACGACAAAGCTGTACGTTGATAAGAGGATACGCTGATCAAGGGCAACCCAACTTGGGCAACCAGGAAAAACTCTTCCGACATGATCATGCAAAAGATATAAGAAGCAAAGCACTGTGCGCAAATCTTGAACATCGTCGAGGTGAGCCAGCGCTCTTCCGACGTCCATTGTCAGTCGCTGGCATGCAACAGCTTCTTGCTTGAGCTCAGCTGATTCCGAACTACAGGAGTTCAACCAATCTTCAAGGCGACCAGCCAAAATTTGGAGAGTGCTGACCGATGCCGGCCCATGCAGACCTTCTTCTGCACAGCTACGAAAATTTTGCAGAAGATCAACGAACTGCTTGCTGCCGCTGCGAAGGTACCGAAATCGCACCCGCAACAAATCCCGGCTCACATCGAGATTGTTTTGGCGAACAGGCAGGTCCAAATCGAAGTTGATATCCACACTGAAAATTTCAAGCAGTTTGGAGTGCAA